CAGAATAGTAGTCATAGTAATGGCAAACCTATGTTCAGTTTTTACTTCTGCAAAGGATCAAGTGTTGAATTGAAGCTTAAGTGCTCTTAATTAATATTCAAATGAGTGACATGTCTTGTATTTTCCTTAGTACCAAAACTTGAAATAACCGCCTCAGTTCCTGTGTGACCTTGCAGTTTTGATGTCCTGGGAATGATTTTAGAAGTGGGCATTTGACTGGTATGTGGGGGCTTATTTTGCAATGTCAGTTGTGATACGGTGCGCATCAGCACCTAGGCCTGCCGGGGAACGTGGCTCAGGCTGGCCTTCATATCTCAGCTTTGACATCTAATCGTACCACCTTGTTTAGCTGAGCCCACCTCCCACATATCTTTCAACTCCGCTTCCTCTCCTTATTCATGTCTGTCTTTGTTCAGGGCCTCCTAGCAGGTCCTCTGCTTTAGTCTCCTTGCTTCAGGTCTATCTTTCACAGGATCATTAGAAGCTATATCTCTATGTTGTCTTCAGGTTAAACCAAAAATTATTAGTATGTCTTTCTAATTTCTAGCCTCCAATGTGTAATAAATTTCTCAAATTTAAACTCTCCAAACTGAATTCCCAATGGTCCCACCTCTCCTCCACAGTCTTTCCCATCTCATTAAAGATAATTCCCTTCATCTAGTTGTACAGGTTAAGCACGTGGAGTCCTAGTGGACTCTACCTTTTCTCTCTGCCCTACATCCAATCTAATCAGCAAATCCTATTGTCTGTATCTTCAAATGAGACCCAGAATCCTTTCTGTTCAGCATTTCTACTTCATCACCCTGAATCAGATCTCCCTGATCTCTTACCGGGAGTATTGCAAGAGCCCCCTTACTGACTCTCTGCTTCATTCCTTTCACTACTACTATTTTTTTCAAATAACAGCCAGAATATTCTTGTTAAGACCCAGAAACCAGACCAAACAGCTTGTGTGTGCAAAATCTGTGATTGCCACCCTGCTGAGAGTAAAAGCAAAATTCATTACAGTGGCCTAAAAGGTCTTGCTCTATCTGGCCCTTCACAAGCTCCCCCAACCGAGCTTCACTGCTCTGTTCTGTGCAGTGCTTCCTCCCTTCCAGCCACACTGGCCTCTGCCACTCTCTAGGCAAAATCCTGTTTCAGAACCTTTATGCCTGCATTCCTTTTACCTGAAAAGCCCTTGCCACACATGTCTACACGACCCACTCCCTAGTTTCTTTTCAGTTCCTTGTCTCTAGGCCTTCTCTAATTATCAATAGTAGTATCCTCTTCTCTGACCCTTCCTACCCTTTTTTTCTGCTTCATTTTCTTAAAAGAGTGCATATAACCTTCTGATGTACTATATATGTATATAATAATTTATTATTATTTACAGTCTATATTCCCAAGTGGAATATGAGCTCTATGAAAGCTGAACTTTATTCACTGCTGTATCCCCAGTGTCTGCAACAATAAATACTTATTAAATGATTGAATAAGTGAATATGCTTCTCTAACCTCATCTTTCAGAACCGTCCCACTGAACACTAGCTGTTCAGTAAAAATGGTGATGGTAATGTGGTAATGATAAATTATTCCTTGAAAAACTTTGGCATTTATAAAAGAGTATTAAAAAAAACAAGGATAACTGTTTATCAACAAACATATGTATAACATACCGATTAAAATAATCACACACAAAAAGAATATAGCCAAAGCATGTGCAAAATACATCAGTACAGAGTGAAGAAAGAGTTCGTCAGATTCCAAGTCCCGTGGATTTACAGCAATGGCTCCCTGGTCTCAACAGCATCCCAGTGGTGATGTCAAGTGGTGATACAAGAAACCAGATGTTGAATTTATTGCTCAAAACTTTGTGGTGATATGGGTGGGGCTCTGTTTAGACATCCCCTCAAGGTTCTAGCTATTAAACGTTCTGATTATTTGGCAAGAATAGAAAGCATTCTTGTGAACCGTACAGAGCCCTATTTGGACTCCTCATTAGGAGAGAGATCACTGAGGCACCAATGGATTGCTCAGGCCCAAGATGTTTCCGGGGAAAGGAAACAGCTAAGTCTCTTCAGTGCTGTTTGTTTCTCCCTGTGGCTGTGACTGCCAGATGCTTCAGGACACAGGTGCACAGGATGGTCCCATTTCCCGAGGCCTTGCCCTGCTTCAAGCTGTGTTAGAACATCTCATGAAAGCAAGATGTGAGCTTCTTCCTGATTATAACTTCCTCAATGTCCCTCATTTAAGCGCATTTTCTATCTGTAGATGACCTGCATTAAGTGCAACCGGTCCACCCTGTATGCCTCACAGACAGTGCTGCAAGATGTGGAGTCACTGTATTTGCCTTTCAGCACCTCCTTTGCCATCAGAGTTTCCCTCTCCTTCTCCCACAGCCTCTGATCTAGTGGTTGTCAAACAGAGGCGTGATGCATCAGAATCTCCTGGAGGGCTTCTGAAAGCACAGCTCCCTGGGCCCACCTTCCCCAGTGTCTGCAACAATAAATACTTATTAAATGATTGAATAAGTGAATATGCTTCTCTAACCTCATCTTTCAGAACCGTCCCACTGAACACTAGCTGTTCAGTAAAAATGGTGATGGTAATGTGGTAATGATAAATTATTCCTTGAAAAACTTTGGCATTTATAAAAGAGTATTAAAAAAAACAAGGATAACTGTTTATCAACAAACATATGTATAACATACCGATTAAAATAATCACACACAAAAAGAATATAGCCAAAGCATGTGCAAAATACATCAGTACAGAGTGAAGAAAGAGTTCGTCAGATTCCAAGTCCCGTGGATTTACAGCAATGGCTCCCTGGTCTCAACAGCATCCCAGTGGTGATGTCAAGTGGTGATACAAGAAACCAGATGTTGAATTTATTGCTCAAAACTTTGTGGTGATATGGGTGGGGCTCTGTTTAGACATCCCCTCAAGGTTCTAGCTATTAAACGTTCTGATTATTTGGCAAGAATAGAAAGCATTCTTGTGAACCGTACAGAGCCCTATTTGGACTCCTCATTAGGAGAGAGATCACTGAGGCACCAATGGATTGCTCAGGCCCAAGATGTTTCCGGGGAAAGGAAACAGCTAAGTCTCTTCAGTGCTGTTTGTTTCTCCCTGTGGCTGTGACTGCCAGATGCTTCAGGACACAGGTGCACAGGATGGTCCCATTTCCCGAGGCCTTGCCCTGCTTCAAGCTGTGTTAGAACATCTCATGAAAGCAAGATGTGAGCTTCTTCCTGATTATAACTTCCTCAATGTCCCTCATTTAAGCGCATTTTCTATCTGTAGATGACCTGCATTAAGTGCAACCGGTCCACCCTGTATGCCTCACAGACAGTGCTGCAAGATGTGGAGTCACTGTATTTGCCTTTCAGCACCTCCTTTGCCATCAGAGTTTCCCTCTCCTTCTCCCACAGCCTCTGATCTAGTGGTTGTCAAACAGAGGCGTGATGCATCAGAATCTCCTGGAGGGCTTCTGAAAGCACAGCTCCCTGGGCCCACCTCTGTTGTTTCTGGCTCTGTAGGTCTGGGATGGGGCTGGAGACTTACAGGTCTATCAAATTCCCCAGTGATGCTGATGCTGCTGGTCCTGGGGCCACACTGAGATCCTACTGGTCGATTTCATCATTGTCCAAAGTACCTCTTTTACCCATCCCCTCTCCAGTCCTACTGCCACTGGCTTAGTTTGGGCCCTTACAGATTTCTAAACTTTTAGAACTCAGAGAGACATTAATCATATTAGTAATATGTCAGAGAAGTGAAGTTACAGGCTTGAAATCGTACAGCCAACAGGCAGTGGAGCCAGGACTCACGCTCAGGTCCTTCAGACCTCAGGCAGCACAGCACAGAGATTCAGATCCATCCCAGGGAGGAGGTGCTGACATCCACAGCAGGGCTCAGGCCTTGCCCAGCAAAGAGGCATTGGGCAAGTCAGTGGAGGGTCAAGGACTAAGACCCAACTTTCTTGACTCCTAATCCCACTTTCATTCAGCAATTCTAATGAGCACCTACTATGGGCCAAACATGAGATCTCCCTGTCATTCTGCCAAACAATCTGAGTGTCTACTGGGTAGCAGGTGCTTTCTCAATCACTGGGGACATGGTAGTGAGTAACAACAGTCATCTGTCACAAGGTCACAGTGTGATGGAGGAATTAGACATTAATCAAATAACAGCACACAAAATTTAAATTGAACTCTTTTCAGTGCTACAAAGGAAGTGTTTGTGGTGCTCTGAGCACATTTAAATGGGGACTTAAATGTAGAAAGGAGTGTGGAGGATGTTTTTCCTGGGAAGTGACAAGTAGGTTGATCTCTAAAAGATAAGCAGGCATTAAGCAGGTGGAGAGGGGAAAGAAAGGCATTTGGTAGAAGAAGCAGCATGTATAAAGGCCCTGTGGTAGAGGGCCCCTGGTGATGACAAGGGAATAAAAGAGAAGCATGGTTAGAGCAAGAGAGTCAGGGTCCAGAGAGGCATGGAGACACCAGGTCTTATAGGATCCAATAGGGCACTTCAAGAGGTTTTAACTTTTAAGAATAATAGAAATCCAACATGGGGTTTAAATGAGGAGAGATGGCATAATCAGATTTACTTTCTTGAGGGACCCAGGTGGTTGTCACGTGAAGAAACCTAAAGTGAATTCAAAGTCTGCGTGACTATTAAGCATTTCCAGCTGGAATCAGAGTAAGTTAACTTCATTAGAAGAAAGCAGGGCCAGGATGGAATTTCAAATCTGTGGACACTAGAAAGACCAACAGTTTGAAGGAATCCAAACAGAATATTTTATTGAATTACAAAAGCCCTGAAAGAGAAAAACAAACTGCATGTTCCAAATGTAACTGCTAGATGTTACCAAATGAGGCAGCTCTGGCCTTCCCAAATGAAAATACATCACCACCTGACCATTGTGAACCTAACTTCATCTTACCGTTTTTCACAGAATTCTTGTACTCTGATGAAAAGTTCAACATGTTCTGCTGTTTATTGATAACCTTGGGGAACACATTTCAATGAACACCTTTCTTCATCAGCTCACACTCTTGAGTCTTTACATATAATTCCGTTTGGAAATATGCTCTTTTTTCAGAGACGAGATGTTTCCTACCTCACTCTCTTATTTACAGATAAGCAATTTCCTCAGCGACCCCTGGCGACCGTCTCTCCCTCTCATGGATGAGGTGCCCGTCTGATCTGTCATCTGTGTTTTGCTTCAGCTTGAATTCTGGGAAGTGTTGCCATTTCCCTTCCTGAACATTTGCTTTGAAGATAAAGAGAGGATGTTCATCTCCCCCAAGAACCTCCCAGGGCGTTCCTGCCTGTCAGTCTTCCCCTGCCTTGGGAAATTCCATCAGACAAACATGAGTTGGACTAACGACCCATCAGGGGACTGGATGTGGGGGAGCAGCTGCCCATGGAAAGGCCTTTTGTAGCATCCTTTTCCCCTGTGACACCCAGGCAGTGATTTTAGTGAGTTGACTTGTTTTTACTAATGCTCACATACCTGTTTAAGTAGCTTTGCTAACCCTGTTCCAGAACATGGAGAGGCTGTAAAAAGCCCCTGGCCTGACGTCTGGATTCCGGGTCTAGTTTTGCCATTGAGTAGCTCTGTGATCTTGGACAACTTTCTTTGCTTCTCTGGCCTCTGGGTCTTCAACTGGAAAATGGGAGAGTTGAATCAAAGTCGTGGTTACCAATGTTTTCAATTACATTTTCAATCTTTTTTTATTATATCCTTACTGCTCTAGGCCCCCATGTTTGAAAGATTTTTAACTTCTAAACACACTGAACTTATTAAGCAGCCTTTATTTTATTTCTCCTTTTTATTCATCAAAGCACACACCAGAGGCTCTGATCAACATGGCTGGTTGATATTATTCTAGCCAAATAAAACCGCATTGTAAGGGCATGTGGTTTTTTTACAGGATGTTTGAAATTTTGAAAATAGGTTGCAAATCCCTACTGCAATACTCATAGGCCCCTAAAAATCTAAGGATCCCAAATGGAGGAACAAACAGGGTAAAACATCTTTAGAGAAACCATCTGTGTCCAGTGTTCTGAAGCTAACGCTTGAGGAGATAGAATCCCCAAGTCCCTACAGTAGGGAGAAAAGTGTTACAGAGCCCATTTAAATTGCCAAAGCTCAGACTGTGAAATCCTAGGCCTTTGTCTGTTTTCTCAGTAGAGGGGGAAACATGACGTTCCATCAACTACACCCAAAACAATGAATACCAACTCATTTACCTTTCTGATGGTTCCATACACCAACTTTCCTAATGCTTGCGATTATTCTAGACTTCAAAGGCAGAAAATCTGAATTCATTTTCTATCCCACTTTACTTTTTTAATACACCAATTGAGTGCTTACTATTTTCCAGGTACATAGTAGGTACATAACACATGCTTGCTGAATGTGCGAATAAGTTATCCAACTCCTGTGTGAATAAACTCTGTTAAACATTTCCACATATTCCATGCTGTTTAACTCCTTCAACGACCCTGTAAAGGTAGGGAGTGTTCTTCCCATTTAACCACTGAGGAAACCAAATCGCAGGTGCTGTGACTTGTACAGCTAGAAAGTGGTAAGGCAGAACTTGAACCCAGGTCTTGGCCCATACCCTAGGCTGGTGCCCAACAGGGCAGCCCCCCTATGGGTTCCTACTGGTCCCTGCTCCAGCATTTCTGAGTGAGCTGAACTCCTCTCCATCACCAGCTCCACCCACTTCATAAAGCCGTCCTTAGCCATCTTCTGTCTTGCTTGTAGCACTTTTCTTTGCCCTGTCTTGCTGCCCCCATATCATCCTGCCACTTATCTGAGCCTGTGAAGGCCTGTGCTCCCCGCAGCTTTCACCCTGGAGCAGTTCTCCTTAAGACTCCAGAGAAGTCCTCTGCAATGTTCTGGTGGGACCACAGAGCATCCCGGCTGGAGGGAATTTGTCATGTCCCAGTCCATCCCCTCACTGTGCAGACAAGCCCTCCGGCTCTGCAAGAGGACACTTACTGTTCGCCATCCCCCAGGGCACACATGACCTCACCCAGCTCTCTCTGCTCCTCTCCTCACCTCCATCTTAACACCTCCTTTGTAGGGTTAGATTTGCTTTCTTGAGGGAACCAGGTGGTTGTCACGTGAAGAAGCCAAAAGTGAATTCAAAGTCTGCGTGACTATTGAGCATTTCCAGCTGGAATCAGAGTAAGTTAACTTCATTAGAAGTTCACCCCTAGAAGTCAGCCTTATTGCCAATCAGCTAGGTGATGTTGAGAAGGCACATCCCCAGTTGGGGTTCCCATCAGTTCAGTGGGAGGATTTAACTTGGTGGCTCTAGCAGCTTTGACTCGCAGTCCGCGGTGAAAGCCCCTCCTTTCCTCCCCTCCTACTCTCAAGGCTGTCCAGGCCTGGCTGAGCCCCCCACCTCAGCCGAGGGCCAGGGCACTCCTCTTTCTAGATGACCTCTGGAATCTCAGATCTTCAGAGTCTTCCTGAACCAAGTGGCCCAATGGGGCCATTCTCAGCCGCTTCACTCTGGCCCAGAGCTTAAATATCTTTTAACATTTTGCAAATATCACAAACTCCCAGAGAAACACATAGTATCAGAGTTAATGAGCACTGGCTGCCCCAGGCAAACTGGATGTGGATGAATCCATCCCTCCATCACCACACCTGAGTCACTCCCATCAATTTTGGAACCACAAGTGACATTACGGTTTAGACCTGGGAAGGTCCTTTTAGACCAGGTGGTTCAATGTTACTCCCAACACCTATGCCCACTTTACAAATGAAGAAGCCAAGGCCCCTTAACCCTTGGATAAAAAGTTATGACCAAGAATATGAATGACAGTAAATGACAGATACTTTTTCTTAGTGACCGATGGTTGAGGTGTTTGATTGAATGCATTCCTTTCTCTCTTAGAGGCTAGACTGGCAAAGGACCCACTGGGACAGTGGCCTTTCATTATTCATCCTAACTATTAGTGACAAAGCTTGTGCTTTCCTACACCTATTGTCACAATAGTTCAATTGCTCAAAAACCTGGTGTGGATAAGAGCACTATGGCTTCACCACTTTGAGGATTGACTTGCTGAGATAAGGGTCATGGCTATACTTCTGGAAGAGAAGCAGGAGGAGAAAAACTGTTAGTCAAATACTTCAGCTTAATATAAAGCACCCCATTGGCACAGGCATGCACATGTACACATACACAAACATGCACCCTACCCTGTCCCTTTGATTAATTTTAGGGGGTTTCACACACCCTGGTTTCAAGCTATACTACAAAGCTACAGTGATTAAAACTGTATGGTACTGGCACAAGACTAGATGCATAGATCAGTGGAACAGAATAGAGAATCCAGAAATAAACCCACACATATATGGTTAATTAATATATGACAAAGGAGGCAAGAATATAAAATGGGGAAAACACAGTCTCTTCTCTAAGTAGTGTTGAGAATACTGGACAGCTACATGCAAGAGAATGAAGCTGGATCACTCTCATACACTATATACGAAAGCAAACTCTAAATGGATTAAAGACATAATTATAAGGCATGAAACCATAAAACTCTTAGAAGAAAACATAGGCAAGAATCTTGTGAACATCAGCATGAGAATTTTTTTTCTGGATATGTCTCCTCAGGCAAGGGAAAGAAAAGCAAAAATTAACAAGAGGGAGTACATCAAACTAGAAAGCTTCTGCACAGCAAAGGACACTATCAACAAAACAAAAAGACAACCTACTATTTGGACAGTATATTTGCAAGTGATATATGCAATAAAGGGCTCATATCCAAAATATATAAAGAATTCATACAACTCAACAACAAGAAAACAAAAGCAAAAAGCAATAAAAAAACGGGTAGAATAGACAGTTTTCCAAAGAAGACACACAGATGGCCAACACACACAAGCAAAGATATTCCACATCACCAATCATCAGGGAAATGCAAATGAAACCCACAATGAGATATCTCCTCATGTTGGACAGAAAGCTTCTATCCAAAAGACAAGAAGTAACAATTGTTGACAAGGATGTGGAGAAAAAGAAACCCTCTTACACTGTTGGTGGGAATGTAAATTGGTCCAGCCACTGTGGAAAACAATATGGAGGCTCCTCAAAAAATTAAAAATAGAAATATTATATGACTCAGCAATTGTATTTCTGGGAACTTACCAAGAAAACAAAATCACTAATTTGAAAAGATACATGCACAGCTATGCTCGTCACAACATTATTTGCAACAGCCAAGATATGGAAGCAACCCAAGTGTCCACAGATAGATGAATGGATAAAGAAGATGTACATATACCCAATGGAGTATTACTTGGCTATAAAAAAGAAAGAACTCTTGCCATTTGCAACAACGTGTGTGGAAGAGGGTATCATGTTAAGCAAAATAAGTCAAATAGAGAAAGACATTGATTTCAATTATATGTGGCATCTAAACAAAACAAAAAAGAAACAGACCTATAAATACAACAGAGTATTAGTTTCCATAGGGAGGTGGCTGAAATAGGTGAAGGGGATAAAGAAGTAGAAACTTCAAATTATGAAATAAGCTAGTCATAGGAATGGAAGTACAGCATAGAGAATACAACCAATAATAGTGTAATATCTTGGTATGGTAACAAGGGGTAATTGCATTTACCATGGTGAACGTTTAGTAATGTATACAGTTATTGGGGCACTTTGCTGTATATCTGAAACCAAACTACTATATAGCAACTATTTTCCAATAAAAAAAGAGTGAACCAGAAAATAATGATTTCATACCCATGACACATTTTTTTTTAATGAAGGGAAACCATATCCTAGTGATTGTGTTTGGGATAAGACCCTCCTCCTTCTTACCTGGTTTGCCAGGGCGGTGCTGAGTAAAGTCCAGGATTTGGAGTCAGAAGAAACAGGACCAGGATCTTGGCCTTAACCTTGATTCATTGTTCAACCTGGGGGTGAGTCCTCTGTTTCTTGATATAGAAAATGCAAATGCCACAAAATTGTTCACAGCAGTGTTGTGGGCGTGAGAAGAGTGAAGGTTGTGAAAGCTCTTTGCACACTGTAAAGTGCTGCTCAAATAGGAGTTGTTAATACCAGGTTTTTTCTCCAGGGATCTGGGAAAGTCACGTGGGTAAGCCTGGTCACATGTATGCACACACTGCCACCAGCTCACCTTTCTCAAAGGTAGCTATGCCCTTGTTGCTTGACCACTCAGAAAGCTATGACAACTTCCTTGTGCCTGCTGCCCAACCTCCTTCATCAATGTTTGGGACCTTTCAAGGACTGACCCCTACTGACCAGCCTAACGTGCCAAACTGAGCCTGTCGTAGTTCGCCAAAGAGCCATCGCTTTGCTTCCTGTTTACCTTCCCCCACCTAGAATGTTTTACCCCATCTCCACAGTCTCTGCATATCAGAAGCTTACACATCTTTCTAGACAAATTGTTAAGGCTGCCACTTACAGGAACTTTTCCTGATTATACCCCTACTTACTCTCAACAACAGTGGTTTCCCCTCTTATGAACTCACTTCATCATTCTCTTTGTGTCCATTTTCTATATTAGAACTAAGTATGGACATGTTTCATGTCCTTTTACAGAAAGTTTGAATTCCTCAAGACCAAGTTCTCTGTCCCACTATTCTTCCACCTCCACCCTAGCACCTTGCCAATTCCCAGCACCAGCAAGGGTTTGGTGTTCAGTGAACAAACAAATGAATGCACTCCTACTCCCAAACACGAAAAATCACCAGCAAAATGGACTGGTGAATTCACTCTTTTCTCCCTGGGTGTCAGTTTGATAAAGAATGTTGCATCTGTAAACAGACAGAACATCTAAGGGTAAGGGATGTCAGCCAATGGAGATCACTAGAAAATGGGTAACACAGACAGAAAGTTAATTTATAACACAAAATCATGTAATACATGGATTGGCAATTAATCACCAATTAACCACAAAGTCCAGGACACATTTTTAAAAGGTAATCAGAGTTATTGGGTATGTCTAATAAAAATCAGAGTAATCATTAACTGGTTTAAATTTTTTTTTATTGTTTGACAGATATTCTTCTGGGATATTCAGGCAAATATCCAAATGCAAAGGGAGGAGCTAGGAGTGGCAATGTAGGAACCTTGAAAACATTCTCAGCTAGGAAACAGAAGTTCTAGCCCAAGCTGTGCAAACAACTGAGTAGGTTGCTGTGTCAGAAGAATGTCCCTTTGGTCCCCTCTGTCCTCCTATAAATCACATTAGACCAGGTGCCCTACACGACTCTTGAATTAAAGAACGTATACAGTTCCCACCTGCCCTCCCAATGCCTTCGGCCACTTCCCACTGACTTCTAACAAAGGGCTCTCTAGGTGAACTCGGACCTGGTCAGCTTGCCAGTAGCACACTGTTAGCCAAAACAGTTTCCTGATGACAGTTGCGAGACAGGAGCCCTGCAAAGCAGCGAAGGCTGCTACCAACTAGTGAGCCAGGGTCTGCCCGTCAGCTTTTGATGTTATGGTCCCTGGATATCAGAGCCGGTAAGCCAAAGTCAGTGTCCTGGGCTGGAGTCTGGTCCTGCTGTTTTGCCTTTTGGAGCCTCAGCTTTCCCACAGAGAAACTGGGGTAACACCTTTCAGCCAGGGTCCTGTAATTGTGTATTAGCTGAACTGGCCACCAGCGTCCCTTGGCCATCCTGCAGAGCACAGAGGGAGCAGCCATCTGCAGGGGGTGGGGGAAAAAACACGAATGCCCCCACCTCTCTGCCACCCACTGCCCAGGGCAAACATGGTGCTCCTCCCTCAGTAGCAGGTAATCAGGTGTTCCCAGGGAGGCCTGTAAATTTCTGACTTCTCTCTTTGGGAGGGAGGAAGGAAGCAGAGTGCCACTGAATATTTTCCTGTCTGTGGGTGAGTGTGTATTGAGAGAGAGAGGGAGAGAGAGAGAGAGAGAGAGAGAGAGAGAGAGAGAGAGAGAGTGTGTGTGTGTAGGCACCCCCGCGGCCCCCTGTGACTTACACAACCGGGTATTTGCACACCAGATGATCCCTGCAGGGAAAGGCAAGTCCCCAGCTGCTGTGGAATTTTAAGAGATCTCCCTGGAATGCCCTTATGGGATGTCTGGTTCTAATTGCCTCCGTCAGCCGAGCTGGCGAGCTGGCAGGAGCAATGAGAGGTGAAACTGAACAGATTCCGGTTCACATCAGACCCCCAGCCCTGTGAGAGTTCCCCAAGGCCAGGAAAGAAAACAGTGTGGCTGTGGTGGTGGATGTGCTGGAAAGAACTCGAGGCTGGAAATGGGAAGGCCCGGCTCCTCATCCCTGTGCCTCCACTAATGCCCCGCGTGGCTTCGACCCGTTGCTTCCCTTCTCTGGCCTCCAGTTTCTTCATTTGCTAAATGAGTGGTGAGGGCTGGCTGGCCTCCAAGTCCCCTTCCCAGCCTCAGATTCAGGGACAGAAATGTCAAACTCTCATTGCGGAGCTTAGCGGGGCATTTTCTTCTGAACTTTAGAACCAGATGCTCTGCATTTTTAGATCTTTAAGAATGGGGGAAGGGAGAGGGTTTTATTCCCACCTATTAGAACCTAGCCTCAACCCCATTCTTTCCTCTCCCTCGGGCCAAGGGTGACTGGAGATGGAAGCACTGACCCCAGCCTAAGAGGAGACAGACATCCCATGGTTCCTTAGTGCCCCCTAGAGGCCCAAAAGGCAGCTGCCTGGACACCCTAAGGATTCTTCTGCAGAGCCTTAGGTGTCAGAAGCAGATGGGTCCAATCGGCCTCTAATGTGCAGAGGAATTTCTCTACCTTTTCAGGCTGTTGTTTAAAGACTCAGAATAAACCACTGAACTAATGGCCACAACAGGATGGAGCTGAACACCTGGTGGGCACCCATGATTCCTGCACAGCACTGCATGAGGTTATCAAGTATCAAGTACCAGGGGTTCGTAGCTCAACACCATGCTCTTACCCGCCCACCTCTCCCTGGCCTCCTCACCCCACTAACCCCACAGCTAATGCCTGCCTATGTCTAGTGACTAAGAGCTCACTACTTTCTGAGGCAGCCTGAATCAGGAATTTTGTTTGGCTGGTAACAGAGTCCAAGTCACAGTGACTTTATCAAACTGGGGAGTTATTCGCTCATCCTGAAGATGTCTGCAGATAAGCTGCAGTCCACAAAATCATTGAGAACTAGAGTTCCTCCTTCTAGATTTTTCCTCCATCATCCTGAGCAGATTTCCTCATGGACCTCATGGGTCAAGATGACCACTGAAGTTTTAGGCATCACCTCTGCACTCCAGAGAAGAAGGGGAAAGTCAAAGGTCAAACATCATCCCCTCACACTACATCAGTCCCCTCGAAGTCCCACCTAATGACTTTTGCTTGCATCTCGTTGGCCACTCCAGCTGCAGGGATGGCTGGGAACATAGTTTCCATTGCACTTCAAATATATTTAGAGTTTGTTACTAAAGAAGAAAGGAGAAACGGATATTGGCTCAACAAGGAATAGATGCCATACAGCCCATGAGTGTTGAGAGAAGCCGTGAGTGGGTGTGTAGCTCTGTATTTGTCTTGGACACTGGTTTCCCTCTCTCTTCCAAGAAGACACAGAGCCCTGTATGCTGGCTCACCAGATCCCAGAGAACTCCTTACCTCCCCAAACAGGACCACACCCCTGGTGGGGAGAGACTGTATCTACTAGATCAACTGAATCCTCCAAAATTCTCTGAGCCAGGCCTCTCTGGCACTTTCCTGGGGAGAATCTTGCCAGCTCACCGGAAAGGACCCAAGCTCAACCCCAGACGTGCCGTCCCACAGTGCTCTCTGCCGGGTCTGGGACCACTGAACTTCTCCTTCCCAGCAGGCTCTAGTGCCTTTGTTCCAGTCCTCCCGCCCCGCCATGTTGGGGAAACCCCAGTCCACATTTGGACGTACCCTCCATTCCAGGGGGTGAGTTCATTGCTGTCTCCCCAGTTTTGTTCATCTGGATGCTAATGCCACCCATTAGCTCAAAGGGCAAATACTACTTTGTTTAAATTTAATATTTAAAATGATAGACAAAGAATATGGAGCAAATGTCAACTGACTTGGTCCTGTAGCTAGCATTTTAATCAACGGCTTTTGCGTTTTCTGGTGCCAGATGCCCCGGTCCTTCAGGCTTGGAGAGGAGGCTCGTCCTTCCTTGGCCTCCTGGCCCCAGACCATTGGGTGGAAGTGATTTATTCCTTCTCAGAGACTCACAGGCCTTTTCTGGTGTTTTATGCCTCTTCCTTAGACTACTGTATTGGACTATTAATTCTCTGTGCAGGAAACTAAGGCACAGAAAGGTTGTTGCTCACACAGCACCTACATGTATCTATAGAGGCAGGGCCAGGTGATGGGAGGAGGACCTGAGCAGTAGGCTCCCTCTGAAGAACCACTTTCTAAATCTAGGGGTGCTTCAGCTGTCCACAGTGTGTCTAAATTGGTATTTCTTTTTTATTTCAATGGCCATCTATATAAAGCAATAGCTGCACCAATTATTGCTTAGAATAAGCTGCATTCTCTTTGGACAGTGTCATCTGAAGCAGGCTTAGGGTTTTGCTGCCCTCGTGAGACACGGTCTAAAGTCCGTCATCCTTCCCATCACTTTCATCCATTCGGTTCTCTCATGAAGCTGAATGCATTTGAAGAGAGGCCCTTAACGGTACAATTAAAACAAGATTTCCCTTTAAGATGGAGTTTCCAGGAATGACCTGTGTTTAAAAGCAGGGGCCACCCCTTTGGATTGCTAGGAGAGAAATAATCAGCTTCAATTTGTTAAGAACCATTTATCATGAATGTTCTAAGACTATGTCTGTTTTAGGTCTTTTTTCCAGTATAACTAAGTTATTGCACATATATCATGGAAAGTTCCTTAGACTCCCAGGCTCTGCCGACAGCCCCCCAGAGGCCAGCTTTTCCATTTCTTATAATACACTCAGGCAAAGACAGAGTGTCCTTCTTAGCACTTTGCTAGTTGGTATTTTTTTTTTAATATATTTTTTGTGCTGTTTAATGTGAGGTACTTAATACCTTGGCACACTTAAAATCCTAATTGCAGGTTGAATTATCACTGCTTTGTAGCCAGGGAAGCTGAAAAGA